ATTAGGTGGGATGATTTTAATAAATATCTGTGGTCAAAGTTCTCTGGCTGTCTTGCACCTCAGTTCATAGGATCCTTGAGGGCCCAGTGTAAATTTTTGGGTGTCTCCAGATGTCCTGAGATGTCCTGGGACCTGCAAAATTCTTTGTCTTATCTCCTCCATGACTTTTTGTGCTTGCTGATGACAACTTCAGTACTCAGCTGAGTTCCCTTCAGAGAGTAGTGCTTCTGCTGGAAGGTAGGCTGGGGGCTGGCAGAGCCAGGTCTGGTTGGAGCCTTACAGTTGATCCCTCATCATGGTCTGTGGGTCTAGTCTTTCCATCATTATCTTGAGGCCCAGCCTTCAACGAATGCTCCTCCAGCCACATTTGTAACGTGTTCTTAGCTTCTGCACTGACTCCTTCCAGAGCTTATCCCTGTTTGACTGCCTATGATATTTCTACCTAACTGGCATGGTTGATACATTGTGTCCACTTGAGGAGTGTAGAAGTTTAATTGAGTAATCAGCAGTTCTACATCTTGGGGTGAAAACGATGTGCCCTTTCTGCTCTAGGATGTTGTTCATTGTGTCATCTTGAGAAGTTTAGAAGGTTAACTATGTGACTCAGCAGGGAGCCAGACTCTTTACTTGTATTCATCCTGAGGCTGTGCAAGAGGAGGGCTGGGAGATGGTGTGGGTGTAAAGGACCCCCTCAGGTCGGGTAGGCTGTGTACAATGAAAAGGAAATGAGGAAGGACTGATTGCTGGTTCTTCGAAGGAGCTCCAGTCGTTGCCTTCAGCTTGGTGGTCATCTCCTGGCTTCTGTCACAGACCGTTCAGCTTTCACCTGGGACACTTCAGCCTTCTGGTGAAGACTGTCTAGCAGTCATTGTGGATTCTTCAGCATTCCATCGCAGACCCACCAGCCTTCTGATACCGCTTGGAAGGACACTGCAGTGAGCTCCAGACCTTGGACTGGGCTCTTCAATCTCCAGCGTGTAGACACCATCTGTGTGCTTCCACATCCAACTCTGTGGCTGACCATCCTAAGCCAATCGTGTCATTTCTTATACACCTGTATATCTTTTGTTATATCTCTTTTCCTGGTAAACCCTGACTGATATACTATCTATAATATATAGAGATATCTATAGATATATATAGCTATCTATAATAATATGAGTGAGGGAAAATAACATAGCTATGAAACAAACCGAGTCACTTGAACTTGACACAACAGTATGAGTACAAACAGCAAGGCATAAAAACCCATGAATTTGAGGTAGGAGATTTGGGTTGGGAAAATCAGTTAACCAACTGGCAAAAATCAGCCAAATGCTGGGTCCTGGAGACCCAGGACACCTGTGCCAAACACAGGATCCGTGAAGACTCAGCAGCTCCTGAGTGAAATACAGAACCAATCAGAAAAGTGATACTTTCAGTCTTTTGTTTGCTGCCATGAAGCCAGGTAAGTCTTCCCGTAGGGCAGTTTAAATCTGATGCCAGGCCAAGTAAGTTTTTGATAGGACACCTCTCCCAGTGCCTCATATGCATGAGGGAAAATCCAATCCAAGAATTCCAGATACAAAAGATCTCTTTTCCTTCTCCCCACTATGGTCGTGGGTCTGTTCACCATCCTGCTGTATTCTGCGAGACCTTCTTTTCCACCTTCAATAAATATACATCCCCATTATGTTTTCTGTGTGTCTCATCCAGTTTTTTTGTTTAGGATCCCATGAACCTGGAAAGAATTCCCTTGGGACCTACCATCTGGTAACAAATTGACAAGTCTGTTGTTGAATTTCACAATGGTTTTACTATCTCATTCATTTTACTAATGGTTAGTTGCTCAGTGCATGAATATGATTTATGTTTTCTACTTACATTCACTCTCTTTGAATTTATAAAAGAAAGTCATTGGACAGGGTCTGAGGAGGTCCCCCCAAGAGGGGATGTGCACTGCAACTCACCCCACCCAGGGGGAGGTTGTGGTATTGTTGACTTTTGTCACAGAGAAAGAATTTTCAAGACGTGTCAGTGAGAGGAATAAAGAGGTTTACTAGGCAGAATTCTAAAAGCATACACTCAGAAAAAATAGAGTATAAGCTCCTGAAAGGCACGTTAGGGTCTGGAGCTAGGAATATGTATGTGGTCCTAGGGGTATCTTCAAGATAATATCTTCTTGTGGATAATAATCTTTAAGTGGACCATACACACAGAAAAGGTAGTGGGGATGGAGATTTATTGAAGGTGGAAAAGAAGGTCTCTGTGTAGAGACCCCTTCCATGTCTAGGAGGTATACTCCCATGACCAGGTTACTCAGTGGCAAGTCATATTAGAACACAAATCATTTACACGTATTTTAGGTTGAGGTATGCTGTCCACTAATATCGCTGCTTCCTTGAGGATGGAGGTCTGGTGAAGTATGGACAATTCACAGGTAAAATTGATGGGCCCAGAGCACAATTGATAGGTTTATTTAACCTATTGTTAATAGGTTTATAGGTTTATCCTTAGGATCCTTAGGATTTATTTTATGTCTCCTGGAAGGGAAAAAGGCTGGAAGAACTTTTGTTCCTGAAGCTGCAGTTTTCCTTAAAATTACCACTCAAAAAATGACAATTTTCTTTGTTTTCTTTCTACCTATTTTGCTTTCTTCTCTTCTAACTCAGGTTAGGTCTACTACACAGATTTCTCTCCTTGCCTTATTTAAGCAAGAACACCACCACTGATTATAATTATATATCATCACAAGCTATGGTTAAGAGGTATAGATGCCACACACAGATCACGGGGTTTGAGAGAATTACATATTGCTCTCATTGATTCTCTCTTCAGCTTTAGCTGGAGTTAAAATGTCAAGAGCAACTGTTTGTTATAGTGCATGCCAATTGCTGTGCAGAAAACTTAAATAAGAATGCTGGGAAATCTCAGCTTCTTCCTCACTCAGTAGTATTTCTGACCACTAATCTTTTCTATCATGTATTTTTTTCAGATGTTTGATTGAATCAATATTTTTGTGGGTTTTTTTCCTTCATAGGAATTAACTACTGATTATCAATAGAAGTAGCTTGGGTGTTCAGCCCTTTGGTAAAGAGTCAGTGAAAATTTCAAAGAAAAAATCTATTCAGTCATCTGAAAGTATTGTTTATAATGCACAATCATTACTTTTTAAATGTTTTTGCAGTTTTCTAGTGTACTCAGCATAAAACTTAAAAAGTTGAAATCATCTGAAATTATCATCTGCTCCAAAATAATACAGTGTGACTTTAAAATATAACAACAAGGTTTCAATGAATTGTCAGACTATGTGATGTGAATACTTTCTCGTCGAAGAGATGCAAACAATGAGTAAGACAAGAAAAACAGATCAAATTCAAAGAAAAAAGAATACCCAGATGCCAGAAATGAAACAGGAAAACAAAGTTAAAAGAAAATGATTATTTTAGGCCAGTAAATTCTGGGTTGCTTGGGCAAGAATGAATGATATGTGAGCTAGTATATAGTTCATTGGATAAAGATAAAATAAATATATCTTTACAAAAATCCCTGAGATTTCTCTTTTCTAGGTATCTCTAAAAGAACTACAAATAACTAAACTTCAAGAAGTGAAATCAGTCAGACACACAAGCTTAAATATCATCTCGCTTCTCCTAACTGGGAAACCCTAGGTATAGATAATTTAAAGAGAAATAAATATGTAGAGATATATTAGGAAATGAGGAGAGAGAGCTTTTGTAAATGGGAAGGGGACCAAAGGATAAAGGGAGTAGAGACAGTGCCGAAGAGAAAGAAAAGTAGAAAAAATTCAGATGAATTCCGTGCATGTACCAACTCCTCACACCGCATGTAATTGCTTTGTACTGCAAACATGTGCCAATAAAAATATAAGTTGGAAGCAAGCAGCAAATTGATCTCAGAAGGAAATATTTGGACACCAATAAATATGTTCATAACCTAAGTAAATATTGACTGCTCAAAGTTATAATGATGATGAATTTTCATAGGAATGGTTAAGCACAACAAAGAGCTAAAATATTAAAAAGCAATAATATGAGAGAGAGGCGTGATCAGAGCTAAGTTTCCCTGGAAATCTATAGTTCAAGATGAAGACAGAGGTGCAGATGAACTTTAGCACTCCACTGCCCAATATGGCAGACCCAGACCCAGGTGGGGATTTAAATTACAATTTTAGTTAATTAAAAAGACTTGATATTTTAAAATTTAGTTTCCTTTATTTCTGACATGCAAAAAGTCATTTCACTACTTACAATAAGAAAAAAAATACTAGGAAAACTGGAAATTGATGATGGTTCTTAGACTCACCAACACTCGGGGTTCCAGGGTACACTACAACATGAAAACCCATAGAAACAAGCGAATACAAAGACTCACGGACAAGATCAGCCTATCTGGAACAGAAGCCACTAGGAATAAAACATTAAATAGTAATTTTGATGGCTGGCTGGAGGCTGAGTACTCACTAGTGATAGTAAGACCCTCCAGGAGTCAGAAGCATCAGATGGGACCAGACTAAAGCAAAAGCCGTAGTCTGAAGGGCTGAGGATTTGGCTCAGTGGTAATGTACTTGCTTTGCATGCACGAGGCCCTGGATTCTATCTCCAGCACCACCAACCAAAACCAAAAGCTGCAGGCCTAGAAAAATCTATCTACTTTTAGAGGCAGAAGGAAAATCCTCTGACCTCTCTCACCTTTCATGTTCCCATCTCTTGGGACTTCTTCCTACTCTGTTGGTCAAATGTAAGGGGAAGCCACTCATTGAAGAAGAGAATCAGTGATGCTCTACTCAGTGGTCAGTCTCTTCAAGAAGGGTAAGTTAAGAAAATAGAAAATGAAACCAATAGAAAGCTTGTTTATGGTAGAGTCAGAGGTAGTACAGTTCTTTCACCGTTTTTATTCTTTCTTTTGTTGTATTCTAATCTCTTGTATCAATTCATCTCCCTTTAGACATAATTCTCATAAAAATACACTAATAGTTTCAAAAACAACCACATTATAAATAGTTTTAGCAAACCATATCCAGTTTAATATTTTCAAATAGTCATACACACTGGTTTTTAACAAGAAATGTGTGAAGAACACAAAGATTTATCATACTGTTACATAGTGGTACGTGTAACCGTTTGTGAATTGTTATATGTGCTGCAATGTTATGCACTTAAACAAGACATAATTTGTTGCTTGAATTCCAGAATTAATCAAAATAAATTCAACTCTCATTATTATATTAATTTACTCTCATAAGCCACTCACAGTTCCTGAATAAACAGTAAACAATACATCATTTATTATGTATTTGGAAATATAATTTTATAGATACAATGATAATACAATTCAATTATTCATTAAATTCTGAACACCAGAAGCGTTTCAGGTTTCAGACAACTTTGGATTTTGGAAAACTTACATAAATAATGAGACATCTCAGAGTTGGGACTCAAGTTTAAACAGGAAATGCACTTGTGCTTTATACACACCTTGTACACATTACATGTAAACAATAATATCCAATATTTGTCATATGCCTGCTTTGACTGTGACCTGTCACATGAGAACAGATGGGGAATTTTCCACTAGATGTCTTGTTGGTGTCTTAAAACTTTTGAAATTAGGAACAGTTTGAATTAAAGATTTTCAGATTGGGATGTTTAACCTGTATATATAAAATACACTGGTAAAATATTTAATTACACACAGAGTTCATGAAATGGATAAGGAAAAGATTAAAGCACACAAATAAATGAGAAAAGGATATAAATAATTAACACAAAATAAAGTGCAAATGTACAAAGCTGTAACCTTATTCACTTATTGACTGAACGTATCAAGTACACCTTGATATCAAATGATCTTTTAAAATGTGCCTATTGTTAATTACCACATAAAATGTTTGATTCTAGGACACCAGCAAAGAACAGTTAAGCTCTGAGGTTTTAAGGCTCATCTGAATAAGGAAGAAGTTTCCATCTCATGGTTGTATCCACTTCTTCATCTACGTTTCCCAGCTCCTGCTCCTTAGAAAGCTCTAAGAATACCTAAACAGAGACAAAGGACAAGGAAAAGGAACTGTCACATTGAGAGCCTTTCATCTGAACGGGGAAAATGCACGATTGCCTTCGTGTGTAATATACGGGGATAACGCAGTCTACTGAGTTGACTGACCTTTTCTAGTGTGCACTGAGAGAGGCTGTAGTCTTCCAGACTGAAGCTACATTTCACTGGTGAGAAAAAGAAAGAATGTTAACAATTAACTGCCAAGAATTATTTCAGTCATATACATTAAAAGTACATGTTATTAATAAATACAGGAGATTAATAAATAAGAGCTTGGCAGAGGGACAAAATAATAATTGTCATAAAGAGTTAGTACGAATGCATTTTAAATTCACTTAGATGTTAAGATTCGTTCATATTATTTTTTGATAGTGAGTCGTGTTGCTTAGCATATGTGTCGTAAGGAGATATATTTCCTAGATGAATGACAGCATTGATTGCTATGCTGTATGCATGAGGAAGATTTCAATCCCACCTCACACTCTGAGAGGCTCCAGTACTCTGTTCTGGAGACCCATCTGTCATACCAGGGCTCTGCTGGGCTTCTACGTGGGGAAATTGGCATAAAATTTATCACTAGGCTCACATATTCACAAGTATCGTTCATATAGTGACAGTCTCTTACATGAGATGCACTTTTAGACATCAGGAAAAGACAATAAAGAAAACAACAAAATTTGTCTTTGTGTTTGTGTCTTAGTACGAAGAGTATGGACATTAAATGTATGCTTACTGTGCTTAAATATATTATAAAATAAATGGTAATAGTAGCTCTCGAGAAAAACAAAGCAGATAAAGAAATGAGGGAGAGTTGCACATTTTTTTACAGAATGTTCAGGAACAACTGTAGTGGTCAGTCAATAATAGAGCAGAAACCTGGGAAAGTGAAGACGCAGCCGGGATATTTAGGAAGAATTCCACAAAGAAGAATTAAAGTGCAAAGTTCTAACGCCCTGCTGGGCCTGTTTTTAAAATGTATTACACGATTCTCTTTCTTAAATTTATCCAAGTATGATCTTTTGAAAGTTTCATTTATTCCTACCTTCTTCCAGTTTGTGAAATGCCTGAGATAAAGGGTAAACATCTCCTACTGGCAGCTTATAAGTCAACAAGGAGGAATACCTGGGTATAGGAAAACATATTCAACTCAGAATTTCAAAGGGAGAAGACAACCGTCAAAATAAATATGGATATTATAAATGATTTCTTTTAAAAATAAAAGTGCTAGGAAGTAATGTACAACTTAAATATGAAATCAAAATGATTTAATCTATGACTTAAATATGAAATTAAAACTATTTACCAGTGGGAATAAGTTTTAATGATTTTTGGTACCTGATTATTGTAAATAGTTCAAATAATGATTCAGCATAAATATATACATATATATTCAGTTTATGCACACTGTTTACTTGTTAAAAGCAGATACTCTAATCTAGACCCTCTAATTAGTGTAGATGAAGTCAAGAAGTAACCTGACATGATAGTTCAGCCTTGTCACCTAAAACTTGACTTGTAAAGACATCTATGAGGGGAGGTGGGCAGCCGTAGAGGGGGGACTTGGAGACGTTCCTGACCTCTAGGAACAGCCAGCATTGACTTGGGACATTCGCTTCCATGTGCTACTTTTAGCTGTCTAACCTCATGTCCTACTCTTAGCTCATTCGCAAGCAAGAGTTTGGTGCTCCCTGAGGACGTTAAGCCTCACCAGACCTCAGAGAGTTCCTTTCTTCATACCAGCCCATGCTGTTCGCATCTTGCCATTCATAACCTTCCTACATATATCAAATTCACTATGACATGGAAGGTCTAAGAAAAGTACTGAATTACATATCTTAGCATTTTATACCTTTGATAATTCATTATATTTACAGTGTGCTAAAATGAGGGGTTGGGGATTTAGCTTTGTGGCATAAGCGGCTGTCTGTCAAGTGCAAGGTCCTGAGTTCGATTCCTGGTACTAAAATAAATAAATAAAAATAAATAAAATGAAAAGAGTAGCCGTATGCCTTGTTTCTTTAATGTGCTTATTGTTTTAAGGAATTTTAATTTGAGCTCCTGCTCCACCTCCTTGCCTTTCCACCATAACATACAGACAGACACAAATGTCTTCTTTTCTCTCTCTTTTTCTCTCTCTCTCCTTTATATCTTCCATTTTGGAGTATGAACATTTTATTAAAGGGAGATGCTATCTTGATTGCTGTTTGTTTCCTACAGAGATGGGGTGGGGGTCCCAGCTTCTTGAATTGCTACCAAATCACTTACAAAATGGAAAATTCAATACATCAGTTTTTGAAGTCCCTGTCTATTATAGTCAACTCATCATGAATTCTCACAGAGAGTGAAACAAACACTGAGCACGTAAATTCTCCATGTTTCTCCATAGACAAGAAAGTTCTTTTCACCTTTCCTGCTGTGCAGCCTGTGGGAAAATCTTCAGAATCTCAGTGTGAACCAAAGGCACTTGAGACGCTTCCTTTACTTGTAGTTCTAGAATGTAATCCTTGCCAAATTTTCTTTTCAGGTGTTGAACGGAGCCAATGCATCTATGGACAGGAAGGAAAACATATTGGAAAAACTACTGCCTTTATTTTTTTGTGTTATTAAATTTCACATGTAGTAGAAAGACGTCAGTGAAAAAGATATCCACCTCAGCCTTCCAGACACCATGATGGCCACGCGGTCACATAGAGCTTCAGCCTCGGCCAGGTAGTGGGTGGTCAGGAGGACCGCCCTATCTGTATTTTTAACACACATCCGAATTGCTTGCCTGAAGTGAGCCAAGACATTAATAATATTTAAACAAAAAGCACAGAACAATAACCAGTCATACTAAGATGCTAATTTAAAAACACGAGGGTAATACGAATACTGACTAGGTTTTTGTTTTGTTTGTTTATTTGTTTGTTTGTGTTTTTTTTTGAGACAGAGTCTCACTGTGTAGTTCAGGCTGGCCTTGAGTTCACTGTGTAGTACAGGCTGGTTTTGAACTCACGGTGATCCTCGTGCCTCAGCCTCCTGAGCACTGGGATTACTGGAGGGCACCACGATGCCTGGTTCTGACTAGGTTTTAGATAATATAAAGAAAAGGTTTAATAGTTTGAGATGTGCTGATAGCATTGTAATTAAGGTTAAAAAAAGTCTTCTTGTCTTTTAAGATATGAATTGAAATATTTATAGATAAAAGGATATACTGCCTCCTATCTCCTTTGAAATAACTGCAGGATAAGGGAATGAAGTGGGCAGAGGTCTAGATAAAAGAAGATTGAACTTTTATTGATTACTGTTGAAACTTAGTACTGGCTCTAACAGATTATAAATGACTTTTGCTACATTTGTATAAAATTCCAAAGCATAAGGTTTTTAAAAACTTGGATAAAACACTGGATAGTCACCAATATGAAATTGGATTGGAAGTTATTTTAGTACAAAGAGTAATCCATAGATCAGAAAGTAGGAAGAAAAAAAATCTGTAAAATTGGGTAGACAAACTTCAGATTAAACAAAAGGGTGAAAAAGAAATGGGGAAATTATGTCAGTGAATGCATAGTGTCTAGGAAAAAGAATAGAAGAAGAAAGAGAAAAGTTAAAAACATTTCAATAACTAAAAGGTAAAATTAAGATGCATTCCAAATTAAAATACCTTAAACTCCAACAAAACACTTAGGGATTTTTAAAACCTAAATACTACTGGACTATTTTTACAGGCAACTGAGTCAGATAGAAATACTATAGGCAGTCAGACAGGGTCAGGCCCTCGAAGGAGCCAATGTGAAAGACAAGATAAGATACCTGTGGGCCAGACTTCAAGACAAAGGACTAAACAAACACACTCTCTTACCTCCCAAGGGATGGACATCTGGGACTGAAGAGTCCCTGACCCAACCCCTTACAGGAAAAGCCCCTGTTCTGTATTCATGCCCACTTGCTACTTGACTTGCTTCCCCATTTGATCCCAATTTAATCAATTTTACCTAAACAATTCTTATTGGCTGACCATAGTTTCGTCCATTTTTCCCCTAACTTGGACCCACCTCACCTCATGTTTTTACTTATAAAGGTCCCTAGAAAAGACAGAGTCTTGGGGTAACCCACTTTAGGGCCCCCCTTCTGTCCCTCTTTTGGACAGAAGCTTTCTTTTCTTTCCCTCAATAAATATATTCTGGCGGCTGGGGATTTAGCTCAGCAGCACAGCACCTGCCTGGCAAGCACGAGGTGGTGAGTTCAATTCCTGGTACTGGAAAAAAACAAACAAACAAAATTTTAAAAATTAAAAAAATAATA